CGCGCGCGCACACACACACATCGTAATTGTGAGAGACAGGGAGGGAGAGAGAGGGAAGAATGGCAGGAAGGCAGGAAGGAGGGAAGAAGGAAAGAAGGAGGGTAGGTTTGGCTGGACAGGTCTGGATGCCATGTAGCTATTTTTAGACAGGGCGTCCTTTGAGCTCCAACCTCACTCAGCGCCCAGGTGCACAGCCCGTTTCACAGGTGTGTGTGTGTGTGTGTGTGTGTGTGATGTGGGTCCTCAAGCACACGGCAAGCAGGGGGCTGCTGCAGGGAGGCAGATGGAGGGAGACTTGCGGCAGCAGGAATAGTAAGGGGAAGGTGAGCCCTTAGGAGGGGGGGTGACCCTGTGGGTGCAGCTTCCTGTGGAGCTGACCACCCTCCAGTGGGCAGGAGGCTGGAATGGATTCGCCTTTTCCTTTCCCGATGGCAGGTGGGGATTAAAACCGCACTTACTCAGGCTGGGTGGGTCCCTCCCGCGCTCCCTGTGAAGGAGGCGGATCCAGCCCATCTAAACCCCAGGGCCTTTGGGTGGGGGCGCTGAAACCTGGCTGAGAAAGCCGCACTGGCAGATGGAAGCGGAAGCAACCCTGGCCGGTGGCCAGCAGGAGACAACTAGGGATGGTTCCAGGGCCCCTGGGAAATCCCGCCACCCTCCATATACTGCCCAGGTCGGGAATGGATGCTGAAATGTAGGGTTTCAGCCGTGTGCTTAGGACACCATTCATACCTGTGAACACGTCCACACCAGCTAAGGGGGAGGGGTGGGGGGAGGGCGCTGGGTTCCTCCCGCAGGCAGAAGGATGGGAGAAGGTGCTACTGAGAAACGGGGGACGCGTTCCCCAGGGCCTGCCCTGAGAGGAAGAGAAGGGAAAAGTTCTAGAGGAGAGGCGGGTATGGAGCAGCCTGGTAGCCAGGCTGAAACTGGGGTGTAGAGGGGTCTCCTGGGGCAGGGAATTGGTGTCCGCTCCAAGATCTGAGCCCCAAATCAGGGGGTCTCCCTAAGCCCCAAGTCCCCAGCCTACACCATCATTGAGGAGAGTGGAGGGGCTCCCCAGCTGGTAGCAGAAGGGACCCTAGGCCCCAGCCAGCCCCTCCTATTCCTGAGGCCCCGTCTCTACCCCCCCCCCATGACACCCCTCATGTTGTTCACCTTTTGGGTACTTGGGGCTCACTTTTCACAGCTGTCGCCTGTGCAAATGAGGATGGGGGAGTTGTCAGAGGAGGCAGGGCCAGGAGGAGTCTGTCCTGCCGAGGGGTGCGAGGAGGGGCCTGTCTCTGGCTCCGAGGGGGCAGAGCCTGGATTGACCACGGCAGGGACATGGGACTCTGCTGTCCTCAGCAAGAACCGCCAGCTATTGGAGAATGGTGCTGAGGCCTCTGTGGCTTTGCTCCTCTGATCTTCACGATAACCTCTGAGGAGGTTCCATGGTCAGCCCCTTATACAGATGGGAAAACTGAGGCCCCAGGAAGTTATCTACCTGCTCAAGATCACACAGCTGGGAGGTGTCAGGAATCGGGATCTAAACCCTTCTCACAGATTAGGAAACCAAGACTCAGAGAGGGGGAGTGGATTCCCTGAGCTCACACAGCTGGAGGGGAGGAATCCTGGCCCAGGCTGAGTGCCTCGGGGCCCCCATTCTCTCCCACCCCCACCCTTGTTGGGAGAAAGGACCCAGGAGAACGTAGAGTCAGGACAGTGGGAGCTTGGGAAAGCAGGAAGCAACTGTGAAGGGGAAAAGTGACTATATCCTGGGGAAAAAACCTCATTCAACACCTTAATCTCACTCTCAAAGTATTTCTTAAATCTGTACACACAACAAGTACAACACAGCATTGCTGATCATAGTGAACGTTTGGAAACTCAAAGGGATGATCAAATAGTTTTCTGCACAACCAACTGCCCAGAGGACAATCATGAAGATGCTGGGGCACTATGGGAAAAACTTACGGTTTTTACGGAAAACGCCCTTTGAGCCAGGAATCCCTTCTCTTGGAAATTAACTCTAAATATGGAAAAGCTTTTTTCTTTCCACTTAACAGAGACGTTTGCCATGACCTTCCTCATGTTAAAGCGTGTTATACATGTTATCAGAGTCCTCCTTCTACCAAATCACAGAGGACACACAGGTGCGGGGCCACGACCTCCAAACCAGCACAGGCCAGGGCTCCTCTCTCGCATGTGCTGAGCCGCACGTCCTTCAGGGCCTCAGATAAACATAAACCAGGACTTGTATGCATGCATATAAGCATAACCAATGGACATAAGACACTGGGGGGTAGGGGAAGCCAGGGGATTGTCAAGGGCGGGAAAAAAAAAAAGGAGACATATGTAATACTCTTTGTAATAATTTAAGCAATAAAAAAAAAAAA